TTATATAAATAGAACAAACTTGATTAAACAAATGCACACTTAAATTAAAGTGAGGTATATTGTAATGAGAAGCTATGTTATTTGGATCAACTCTCTCACTGAAAACAATGAAAAAATGCTGGATAAAAGACTTCAAAATTACCTGAAAAGAATGAAAAATCTGAAAATATGGTGGGACTGCCAGAGTAAATATTTTTGTGAAATGGGAATATGAACCTTGAGAGGAGAGCTGAATATCAAAGCAACATAACTACATTTTCCCCTGAGGTTCTTTGTCTATATTACACCTTTGAGGTTTGGCCAATCAACTTCATAGATTAATGGAACAAGATCTTGCCTGAGCTGTTATAAAAGGATGAGGGAGAACAAATATTAAACTTGTTCTTTTCCTCCAATCCCAAGAGAGCATGAAGAAAATTAAGTAGATAAATGAATAATGTAACAAAATAAAAAAGAAAAAGCAAAGATCAATTATGTCCATTAAAAGTTGTGACACAGCTGCAGATATCCACTTATCTAGACTTAACCTGAGAAACTTACACTGTCAACTTAGATGGAAATGATTAGTTACTGGGAATATATCAGAGTCCTTAAAAAAAATATAAAGCACTCAGAAGACAGATGTATTCATCAGAGAATCTCCCGTGGTAATATTTCAATAACAATGATTAACACAAAAAGATAATCAAACACACAAGGAAACAAAGCAACATGAGTGAGAAAGAGTACCAGATGTCAGATATGATAATCACAGGAAGCATTATAAAATGATTAAATCTCTTACTTTTAATAAGAGTTTCAAAAAATAACTTCAGAAAACAATTTGCTATAACAAGTTACATAGTGTTTTTAAAAAGAAACAAACCTTTAGGAATTACAGTTCTAATAATTAAACTTAAAAATATTCTTCATGGAAAAAGAAAACCGACGTAAAGAATCGGAAGATAAATAAAACACTATTTTCTGAATAGCTCAGTAAAAGAAAATGATAGACAAAAATGAATGAAAACATTTGAATGGCATGCTGAGAAAAAAATGCACAGTTTCAACTGAAGGCTTAGACGGGGATAACAGAATGTTAAAGGAGTATACATTTGAAAAGATGGTAGCTGGAAATTTTCTGAAACAAAGTGAAGACTATAGATTCTTTCAGAAAGCACAACAACACTGAGAGTAGAAACAGCTATACATCTGCATGCTTCCGGGAAAAAGTGGTGAAGAACAAAAGCAAAAAGGAAAACAGCACCGGCAACAAGGACAGTTGCTATTCTAACAGATGACTTCTGGATGGCAACAGTGAATGTCAGAAAACAGTGGAATGAAATCTTCCACATGATGAAGAGAATGGAGTGTTGACTCAAAATCGGGAGATATTCAGATTCTGAGATGTGTCTCTCAGAATATGAAAAAATATATAGATTCATTCTAATAAGTGTGAGCTGAAATAGAATGTCACCACAAGGCCCATAAGAGATGAATTTCTCAGAATACACGTCATTAAGGACTCAGAACCACTGTTAGGAATTACTATAGACTAATGAATTTACTACTATGTGGGAAACTCTATTTTTATATAAATGCACTTTGAGTACTATTATAAGCCCTGTTATTCCCCCTGAAGCTCAAAGTCCTAATGCCAGTATTGGGAAGTGGGAATATGAAGAGGTGAGATGAAAAGATATGACACTGTGTGCTTTCTCTCGTCTTTGCCATATGAGGATTCAAGAAGATAAGAAGATGATCTCTGTCTCTCTGTCTCTCTCTCTCTCTCTCACACCACAGCACACACACACAACCAGTTAGGGACCCTAAGAAGATTGCAGATCTGCAAGTGCCTGTATTCTGTAGAACACAGCTTCTAGAATTGTAGTAGAGGAATGTCTTTCGTTCAAGCCACCCACTCCGTGGCTTTTTGTCATAGCAAGCCTACCTGAATAAGATGTGAACTGAAAGAACTTCAGCGATAAACAAGAAAGGAAATCATGGACGGTGAGATCAGACATCACGTTATAACATGCCACACAAGTGTACTTCAAATGTTTATGAGAAAATGAAATTAAAAGATAAGGACATTTTCAGGCAAAAAAAATTAGTATCCACATATAGTTTTCCCATAATCTGAATATTCCATGAACTGATGGAAGACTCCTAGTTTCTAATCATTAAACTATTACAGGTAAGAATCAATAGAGGAAGACACAGTTCTTAGTCATGCAGGAGGTTCTGTGGAGACCCTCGTGGCTGACTGGCTGTATTTTCAACAGGAGTCAGTGCCCTAAACATTTTAAGCTACTCATACAAAACGTAAGTCTCTCTTTGTAAGCCTTGCGGTATTAACATTTTTTTCACTTGCATAAACTTCTAAGGAATTTCAAGTATGAAATTTTAACTTCATTTAATTTCTAATGAATATTCTATAGAATATTCACATATTTTCAAAGAATACATTCTAGTTCAATACATGTATATTTGTAATACAGCTAGTATGCATTTTTTTGTTTTTGTTTTTTATCATTGATTAATACTCTCATGCCTTACTGCTTTGTTCGGAGAATTACTGACCTCATTTTACAGGTAAGGATTGGCAGTTCAGGCAAGTTAGTAAATTCAGCAGCTATTAAGTGACAGAAAGAATTACATCCCCTGTGGTCCAACCTCAAAGCTGTACTCTTAGCTACACTGCTCCTTTGTCTCACCACTGCATTAGCATTCAAAGATCATCCTATAAATTTCAAAACACAGTTTAGCCTTTTATACCACATTTTGCACTCACTCAGGAGGCTCCTACTGACCCCTGGAGGAAAGGACAGACTTTCCTAAAGGACAATGAGCATCACCAGGTCGTGTCTAAGAGGGTGTAAAGGAAATTCTGAAATTTGAGCATAAATCTCTTTCCAAATAAAACCGCAGCATCTTTAATCAAGGCCTGGCAATCATTGTATCGTTTCTTGGAGACTGGAATTGGTAAATGTGGGCTATCCCACTAGGCCTTTAATACTCGGTTGAAAACAAATCCAAGAAGTTGACTCGCAAGACAATTCATGCAGTACAAACAGGGATCTGTAATTCTCTTGCCCGTTACCACAAAACACAGTTAGTTCCTGCCCTAAATTCACTTTGAAGACAATGAATGCCTGGGAAAAACCGTGAGAGCATTAAAAAGGGGGGCAAAAGTAATAAATATGGGCTGCCAAAAAATGCTAACAGGCTTCTTCTACAAATCGAATCCATTGTCAATCTCAAACAAATCTGAAGGTTGGACTGGAGGCATGCAATTAGTGAGCTAACAGGCAAGGTTTGCCTACAATGTGAAAAGGAGTTTTCTTTCACCTGTACGAAATTAAGCAGCTGATAATTGTACCTCCTGGTATCAGGAGATTAAAATAATAAAATAAAAATAAATCAAATGCTTTAATATGGAATCTAATCTCTCCCATTATCACAGCACATTCACACAAACTCTGCTCCAATGGAATTCTTCTCACTCAGCAGGAAGAAGATCATCTTCCCAGCAGCCAACTCAGCAAGGCAAGGGACTTTCCTCCCTTCCTGAGTTCTCCCTTAGAACACATTCAAGCAGAAGACAAAGGACTTGCAAGTAGAAGGGAATTGTTTTGTGCCTGGCTCTTGGGGGTACTTTATTTTTCCTAAAAAATACCTTACTGTAGCCAAAAAAATAAAAATAAAACAAAACCGTAAAACAAACTTCTTAGGAGGTTAAAAATACAAAGGACTAAGATAGATTTTAATTTATTCCTAATTAGTTTACAGATTGGACCACACAGAGACCAAAATCAGCAAGCCACTTAGGCATAAAGGCTATTTCAATTATCAGGAGCAAGCCAAATGCTACCTTTGTTCTTACTAAAAGCTCTTCTTTTTAAAAACATCTCCTAGAAAATGATTTTCTATTTCCTACTTAAAGAGGATTACATAGCAAATGTGACTAGTGGCAGCAGAGCAAAGAACTTTCCATTGTTTCATTACCTGCCAAATATAAATTAGTTCGTTGTGGTCAGCACTTGCCAGGAGACTATTTTCCCTATTGTCCGTCAGGCCAATGGACTATGGCAAGTTGGTTCTTCCCCCAAATCCTTCCTAATCAGCAGGCTGTCAGATATTACCTGCTCTCTGTCTGGTACATCTTGTGGCTGCTATTGTGTTCTGGGGCAGCAAGTTTTTGAGCTGGAACTGACCCAGTAACTAGTTCAAAAATGTTCAGACATACTCTTAAGCCTCCGTGGGCATATGCAAAGCTCTCCTCCAGGTACAGAAACACAACCCTACAAATTTTACTTTATTATAACTACAGGATACACAAATTGTGTTAGTTCCATTAGATGAAGTCATAGAAATATTGCGAAAGGTTAGCTGAACACAGTGAATGTCAGTTAGACTAAGATAAAAAAATGACTTTGTTTAACCCAGTGTTTTCTCACTGATAAAGCCTTATATTAAGGTGCCATTTATAAAGACTTTATTATTATTTATTAATGTATGAAGCACTTTATAGCATGCTAGATAACAACTTAAATTCATGTATTAAAGATGCACATACATGGTTTAATACGATTTACGTCTTATAATATTCTTTAAAACAGCTTCCCATAGCCTCATCGTGTAGGCATTTATTACTAATGCATTTTATAACATGTTTTATAATACATTATTTGAGTAAGTAGCTGCATTTAGTGATTATTCCATAAATAAGCATAAAGCATTTACAAATGGCACCTTAATTTAAAGTGTTACCTTCACATTACTACATAGCTGCTCACCATTTATCTCATTTTGTGATTATTCTCCAAATGCACCACTTAATAAAACAGACACCGACTTCTATTTCCCTTCATCTGATTAAAAGTTTATTGAGCCATTTCTTTCATCTGCTTTCCGATTTGGTAGCCTGTAGGATTTAGTGTGATTCCTGATGAAATGAACAATTTAATTCAACAATATTTCTGAGAAGATGATAATCGTGGAAGCAGAGAACTACCTACCATGTTGGACAGAGCCTGTTGTTTGGATTCTTTGTAAAATTCAATTTTTCGACTGGACAACACGACCCAGGAAGTAGACCAATTTTTCCTTAGGAAAAGAAAAGCAGAAGAAAAAAACGTTATCAAATGAAGAAGTAAAGAAAAAGTATGAGTGATATTTTCAACAAGCAAAGCCTGTATTTTAACAAATCTTCTTAGAAGTCTTGTTTTCATTGAAGTCTATAAGCTGTATGGGATTTGAATAATAAAGCTTTTGTTTAATTTTCTAAAAGCACAGAATATATACTAAAATTTCTCAATTTGGGATCCTCCTAAAATCTTTTAACAGCCAAAAATTCAATTTTTATGTATCCAAGTCCCTCCCTCACATAAAATGTCTGTGTTTTTATAGTAGGCTAAAATAGCAAAGTAAAACTAAGATGCAGAACATCTTTTTTCACTGTTACATCTCTTTGTTTTAGTTTATTTCAGGGTCTGAATAACTCAGGTCATTTCTTACTTCACAATATTTTTATAATGTTGAATCTCACTAGAAATGTATAAAAATAGTAATATATACTGCCCACTTTCCCTCATCAAATTGTTAAAAATTGAATGGACTAATTCTAAGTAGGATTAATGAGCATATTGGAAATGAATTTTCCTTTACTCTATGGATAAAAATGCATATGGGTACACCATTTCTGGAGCACAATTCTATGGAAGGCTTAAAAAAAATTTTTTTTTTTTTTTGAGAACCCTGTAAGGGCCTGGCACAATAATAGCCAAGCAGCTGAAGTGTCGTTTTGTACAAGGATCCTATATGGGCACCAGTTCTAATCCTGCCGGCACTGCTTGTGACCTGGGAGAGCAGTAGAGGAAAAATGAAGGCCTTGGGACCCTGTACCCATGCAGGAGACCCAGAACAGGCTCTGGGAACCTGGATTTGGATTGGCACAGCTCTGACCATTGCAACTACTTTGGGGCTGAATCAACGATGTAAGGTCTTCCTTTCTGTCTCTTCTCTCTGTATATCTGACTTTCTAATAAACATAAAATACATCCTAAAAAAAACCTATATGTCTTTTGACTAACTGATCCATTCCAATAAATATATTATACAGAAATAATGACACAATGCTGTAAGGTTGCACACATAAGAATTATGTTAATTCTAATGGAAAAAAAGCACAATAGATTGGTTAAGTAGTTGCTACTGGCTCTTGGTTATTGGTAACATAATAGATTCTTTTCATGGAATAATTAAGCCTGTACTGTGGAGGAATAGTGCTGTGGGGACATATTAATGCAGACTGTTGTGTCAAATTTTCTCGTGAGGCCAACATCCCATATCAGACCCAGCGACTGTGCTTCCACTACTGCTGCTGATGCATCCAGGAAGGGAGAGGAATCTGACCCAAGTCCTTGGGGGAGAACCACATATGTGGGAGAGCTGGATGGAGCTCCTGAATGCTGGCTTTAAGCTACTCCAGACCTAGCTGCTATGGCCATTTTGGGGAGTGAATCAGCAGATAGACAATCTCAATCTCTCTCTCAAATAAATAAATCTTTAGCAAATATATGTGTATGGTTCATAGCATCATGCTGTGATGTCTACCATAGACTGTCTTCAGATTCCCAGTCACTTCAGATTATTAACTCCAATCATCAAATGTCTAAATGCTGCTTTCACATGTGTGCCTTCCATAACTTCCTCATGTGCTGCATTTTCTATTAAAACATTACAATCTTGGAGTGGTGAATCAGCTTGGTTGTTGACATGCCTTCATCTCAAACTGAAGCATGTGGACTTGATACTCAGTTCTGACTTCTTATTTCTGCCTATTTTGCTTTGTTCAAATGACTGAACCCTGGAAACCTCATGAAAGAGCATGGTTGTGTTCCTAGCTCCTAGTCTGGTTCTTTTTAAGTTTTTATATATATTTGTTTAAAATGCAGAGAGATACAGAGAGGAGAATATAGAAACAAATATTTTTCATCTATTCACTTTGCCAAATGCCAGCTGGGTTGGGGCCAGTCTTAAACCAGGGTCCCACAACTCAATCTGAGTCTTCCACATGGCTGGCAGGGATCCAAGTGCTTGAGCCATCATGTATCACCTCTTTGGGTGTGCACCAGACAAGGCTAAAATTGGTTGCCCCAAAGGATTTTTTGATTAGAGATATATTTGTCTTCTATGAAAATAAACAGTAGAGAGAAGGAAAACAAAATCAGTAAGCTAACAAGGTGATTGAGGTCTTGCTAACTCATGTTGAAAGGGGCCAAGTGGAGAAGTTAGAGGATCCTGTCTTCAATAAGAAGCCTCATCAAGTACAGGTCTGTGTCCCATGGATAAGAAGTGCTGTAGGAAGGTTCTGCTCAAGAGACCCAGGATAGTGAGTTTGAGGGAACAGGGAGCAAGAAATGAACCTTCCCATGAACTTTTCTCCCAAATTGAATTAGGAGGAGAAATAGCCTGGCTATTAGCTTTAGCCTTGGCCGAGCTCCAGCTGTTACAGGCACTTGGGGAGTTAACCAGTGGGTGTCAGTCTCTCTCTCTCTCTCTCTCTCCCTCTTTCTCTAAAACACGCTTCTGTCTCTTTCTCTCTTTTTTCAAATATATAAATAACATTTCTTTTATTAAGATACAAAATGACAAAAATAATTTTGTCTTAACAGAAATATTTCCAATGCCTAGTACAGGTGCCTTGGGCAAAACAGACACTAAATATGTATTTATTGAGTCAATGATTGAACTCAGGCCTGGAAAAAAAATCTGCATGTAACAAAAATTAAATGAAATGCTGAAATTATGCTCTTGATTTTCTTTTGTAATTCTTGGTGCCTTGAGCATTGTATAAATATTAAATGTTACTGCCATAGTTAGTATATGGGTGTGTTGGTATCATGAAGATTATAGATTTTTGGATGGTAAAAAAAAAAAATAAAGATACTAATATACACAAATTTCTCCCCATTACATCAAAATGTTAGAATGTGCTTTTGCCTTAGGATTCACTTTAAGGCAATTGAATTTGGTTTAGAAAAGTGGTTTCAGAAAAGTTTACAGAAACACTTCATCCTAGAAAGCCACACAAAAGTATGTTAAAAATGAATATTTAAAGTTTGTATAATTTATTTCCACTTGCATGGTAGAATCTAGATGTTTGATTGAAAGGACAACTGTGATTCAGTAAGGTTAATATTTACAAAAAGAATTAGGTGCTGTAGCATGTCTGAAGTTTTCTTGATGATGCACCACTGTGTTAAAGGATAAACAGGCTCATAAGAGGCAGAATGTGTATTTTCTAACATATAAATAGGAACACAATGTTCTTGGATCCAGTCAGCTTCAAAAACATGGAGACAATGTTTCAAAACAGTAATGCAAAGATAAAAAAAAATACAAACATATTTTACTTCTGCTTTAGTGCTTTTTTCTCCTACTAAGTAAGTAACAGTAAGGTGAACTGAAGCAGTCTTGGGGTTTTCTTTATGCAGGACATAATTTAGATAGCCAGAAACAGAAAAAAAATAGTAGAACTTTTTTTCCTTTCCTTCCTTCTTCCTTTCTTCCTTTCCTTTTCTTCTCTTCTCTTCCCTCCCTCCTTTTCTTCCTTCCTTCCTTTCTTTCTTGAAATCCACATTAAATCTAAGTGTTAACACTTCCAGCTCTGTTTCTCTTCTTTTGTGAGGGAGATCCTATGTCTTATTTGTTTCTAAACAATAGTAAGCCCTGGATGAATGATTCTGATTTGAATTTGTTTCAGATTTTGATCATTTACAGGACTTGCTGACAGAACTCTATCATTGAAGTTGCATGGAATTCAGTTATCTCATTTTTTGTGTATAAGGACTTTAAACTGCATCAAATTGTATTTCTGTCGTGTGAATGAGACAAATGAGATGAAGAGAAGAGGCACTGTGGGCCTTGGAACCTTTGGAGTATGACTAAGCCTTTGTGCCTTACATGCAGTAATATTTTGTTATGAATTTATAAACTGCAAACACTATTTTATATCTCACAATAAAAGTAAAAGCATTTTCATGGGTTGACTTCCACTGCTTGAATTTCAATAAAAATATAAACAATAACATGCTGCTTACAAACCTTTAGATGCTTCTCTTTCATTTCAGTTTTACTATGATATTTTTCAAAGCATAAGCAAAAATTAGTTCAAGTGGCACTGACTTGATTGTCTAGTGTAGATTTAGTTTCACATGCAAAAATATAATAGAAGTATTAATACTTAATTTAATAATATGGAAAATGAGGCTCAGAGCTGTTAGTTAACTTACTCAAGGTCCTAGAGTTAGAGTTTTTGTCTCCAAAACCTATAGTTCATTACTTTATGTTGTGTTTTCTAGAAGAAATTAGGTAATATCATATTGGTTAAGGATACCCATCAATGTCAGATTTAAAGACATTGTTGGTTGAAACTTTGAAATTATGAAACTTATAAATTTTGACCTACTTTCTAAAGACTGGGCAAAGTGGTAATACTCTGAAGCTCCAGAAAGGCATATTGCTGATTTTTCAGCTATGAGCTTATCATAAGTATGAACCATTGTTTCTCATCCTCCCATTGTATGAGGTATGCCACTTGATAGTTTATGTGCATGGTGTAATTTAACCACCAAACTATGAACCAGTTATGCCAAACATGATTCTAAGAGTGGTTGGACAAAAATTAATTGCGTTAAACTGATTTATGTATTTTAATAGTAAGTAAGGCTCAAAGCAGCCTTTACACGATGAACTGTAACCTATCTTAATGTGAAAATAAATGGTAACCTAATGTAAGGGTTTACCTTTCTAACTAAGCATATGAATCTGAACTAATCGGAGCTGTTGAAACGCTAGCCCCCCAGGGACTGCAAACTGACCAAGCAGGGCTGCACAAGCGAAATAGCAACTACAGGCTGTTCCTTTTGTCACCTCTTTTTCTCCACCTATAAATAATTATCTCTAGGAAATTGGGTAATATGAAACATTCTAATTGATTTTTCTTTTTTTTTTAGAATGCTGAGGAGTTACAGAAATTTTTCCCTTTTTGTTTTAAAGGGAAGAGCATGAACACAGTCCCCCATTATCACAAATTATGCAGT